ATATATATATATATATATATATATATATATATATATATATATATATATGTGATTATATTCAATCAAACCACTTTTATAATATCACCATAAAACACAAAAGAGCTAATTGCAACAAATAGCATATGTAACATTGTACTTTCATTTTTTTCTTATAAAAAGACATTTGCTATGAAAAATTTACCCAATTATAGCATTGTAATTTCAAATTCTCTCTTATTAGGACATTATACTTTGAAAATGACAAATCTACCCAATGGAAATTGCTTTGTATAAATTGTATTTGGATGATATTGCTATAATTTAGTAAAATTTTCAATATATGATATTGTAATAAGAAGAAAAAAGAGTAGGATGCTATAGTAAACAAATAAATAAAAATACTTTCCTATTTCATACATTAAACCCAACAAAAAATACAACAAAAGAGAAAAAGTCAACCTGTTGTCCCCAATGAGTGCCATCATCTTGACTAGGAGCTGTGGTCAACTCAACATCTGACTCGGCTGGATTCTCTTCATTTCCCTAACAAAATATAAAAAGAAATTGGTCAAATCAATTCTCACATGAACTTAAAAAAGTCAAAGGTTGACCGTTGACTCACTTTAAAATGTACATCAAACCAACCACCAAAGCCACATAGCCGTGTGTCCTCTTTAGTGACTAACGATGAAATGTTGGCTTCCACTTTGAGGATTTCTTCAACTGTCACTTTTAAACAATCGATCTCTTTTAATATAGCAGGAGTTCCCACAACTTGATTTGGATGCAAAGAGTTCCACACCGATGTCTACACAATAAAAAAATAATAATAATAATAATCTTTAAGGCCTTTCTTGTTAGTCAGGACAAGACTGGAAGAAACAGGTTGTACTACATTGCACATGATAGTACAGACTGACAAGACATGATAGAACAGACTGACAAGACATCATTTTGCATGCATTAGACTGGGACTTGTAGACTACTGATAATGATAACTTCTGACATGACTTTAGTTGACAATGATGTTATTGGGATAGTTTGTTACTTTGAACTTGGGGTATAAATGTAAATATATACAAGAAAGTAGGATACCCACCTCCAAATAATATTTTTTTTGCTCTTCCGAAAAGGGTTTTGTTAAAACACTCATATTGACACCATAATAAGCTTCAGTTTCTTTCAAGAAACCATGCCAATCATCCATGGATCCCTCATAATCACTCATTTTATGATCTGCTAATCCGGATCTAATAGGAGCCAACCACATGCGAGCATGACTCGGATACCTTCAAACGAAAAGAATGATTAATTAATTTTCTAAAAACAATAAAAATAATGAACAAAATGTGTAATTAGTGGTATAAACTATAAAGAACTACTTACATAATTCCATTTGATTTAAGCCAACGATCACGTGCACAAATTACAGAATCAAACATGGATTCACGAAGAAGAAAGTACCCCATCCACTCAGAGATTATCACATCAACTGTACATCAATTTTTGGTGAGATGAAAATAAATCCAAAAAGAAGTAAAGTTTTCTTTTTCCATTAAGTGTTTGTATGGATGAAGTTTTGAATGGATAAATGATTTCTATTTGGAGTAAAAGGTTGTTTCTTTTTAACTAAATAAGCTTAATGGGTTAAGCCATTTAGTCTGAAAAACAAATCAGACCTTATGTATACAACACTTTATCCAGACAAACATCACACATTATAAAGATTGTTTCTTTTTTGGATTGATAATGACCTTTCTCGGGTAGTGTAATATCTTCTATTGAACCCTCAATCACTTCAATCACATCATGAAGATTATTTGATTTAACAAGCTCCCGAGCATGAATAGCCATTTTAGTAGCTTCAACAGCATATACTTTCTTGGCACCTGCTTGTGCACACCATATTGCTAAAATGCCACTTCCTGTACCTACATCCAACACAGTCTTTTTCCAAAAAAAAGATACCAATTTAGTCTTTGGGTTATCACTTATCACAACATTCAAGATTCAAGAATATACATGTACAAGATTTCAAGTTATAACAGAGTCTTTTGCAAAAAGACAAAAAAATGATCATTATAACACACACCCAACACAAATTTGCATATAAAGATTTCAAGATACATATACATGACAATTTAGTCTTTGGGTTTGCATAAAATTCAAGATTCAAGTATATATACACATACAAGATTTCAAGTTACAACAAGGTCTTTGGCAAAAAGACATAAAATTTGATCATTATTTATAACACATACCCAACACAAATTTGCATTTAAAGATTTCAAGATGCATATACATAGGCTTTGGGTTTGCATAAAATTCAAGATTCAAGAATATACAAAGTATACACATACAAGATTTCAAGTTGCAACAGTCTTTTGCAAAAAGACACAAAATTTGATCATTATAACACAACCCCAACACACATTTGCATAAATTTATAGATTTCAAGATACATATATACATACGAATAGCTTAAAAAGTTACTTGGGTTCTTAGCACATATCCAAATAAGATCAATTTAACATCTTTTGTTCCTATTCTGTCAACCAACCGGAGTTCAATAATCCGGCCGACGTCAACCGTCCGCCGGACCTATTTCATGCCATGTGACCTGGTAAGGATGCCCTTCATGCCTCGGAGGCCTTGAGGCTAACCATTTTTTTAAGTATATATAATTTCTGTTGGTTTATTTTAGTTAAATTTGATTTCACCTTCCTAATTCAAGGCAGAAAACGAGCATATAGCAGTTTAACGTAAACATGTGGATACAGGAAGGGTAATGAGATGCACCTTTCCGATGAAGTGGTGTTTATTCTGGAAAACAGAGTTGTAGTAAGCGTCCATTCGAACTCGGTCGGAGAGCATCTCTTTTTGGTGGTGGAGAAAAGCGTATGTGCAGAAGTAGTTGGCGAAGTCGACTTCTTTGTCCACGGGACTCCGGCCATTGCTGGTGGCTGTACGCCTTTCGGCGGCGGCACCGTTAGCTGTGCTCCCCATCAAGATATGGTGTTTGAATCTTTACCAGAGAGACAGCGAGACCGACATACGCATATACGGAAGTATGGAACTTTCGATTAGGGCACAACGACCGTTAATCTTTCAAACTACGAACTTATTCGATCTCTAATTCTTAATAATAAAAAAAATAACAATAATAGATAATAGAGATATTTAATCGAAATGCCTATCTAGCCTATTGAAAATAATCGATATCAGATTATTCAATTCGAACCCATTTTGAATTCAGATATATCGGATTAGGTAAGTCGGATGTCAGGTTCGAAAATTCGGATAATCGGTTAACCTCATATTTAAATAGGTCGGATGTTGGTTAAGTTTAAAAAAAATTTGAGTATACCTAATTTTTAAAAAAAATAAAATAATGGATACATTAACTATTTAATAACTATTAAACTTTATTATTAAGTTATATAGTTATCATTTGAGTTTTGATAAGTTATCAATAGTCAGTTTCAAAAAAAAAAAAAAAAAAAGAAGAAGTTGTAAAACGAAAATATCACAAACAAAACGTGGTGCACATAAGGGTAAATGTAGAGGGTGTTGTGATTATTTTCAAAGTTATTTTTTTGAAACTTTTTGTTTTTTTTAAGACAAAATTGCAAAAATGATCCCTATGGTTTGTCAATTGTGGGTAAGGTCCAAAAAAAATTATTAGCAAAAAATGTCCCTATTTAATGGTTTTGTTGCGGTTTTGATCCCAACCTCGTTAAGTTTAACAGCATGGCTGTTAACTTTTGGCAAACGACGGATTTACCCATGAGACCATTTCTACAGTTTTATCTTTTTATCAAACTACAATGACCAATTATACAATTTTTCTTTTTCATTTTATTGAATTATTATATATTAATTATTTTAATTATTTTTTTCTTTTTAACTTTTTTCTTATTGTATTATTTTTTTATTTGATTATCATATATTAATAGATATTATTTTTAATATATTATATTTATATATTAATAAATACTACTTTTTATTATTATTAATTTTTTTAATTATTTTTTTTTGAATTTCTTCCTTATTGCATTAATTCTTTTTTATTAGATTATTATATATTAATAAATATTATTTTTAACATATAATATTTATCTATTAGTAACCGTTACTTTTTTGGATTATTAAATTCATTTAATTAATTGTTTTTAATTTTTTTTATTTCGTTAATTCTTTTGATTGGATTATTATATATTAATAAATTTTATTTTTAATATATTATATTTATATATTAATACTTTTTCTTATTACAAATTTTGTTAATTGATTTTTTTTAATTTTTTTATTGCATTAATTCTCTTTTATTGGATTATTATATATTAACAAATATTATTTTTAGCATATAATATTTATCTATTAACAAGTGTTACTTTATTGGATTATTAAATTTATTTAATTAATTTTTTATTGCATTAGTTCTTTTTATTGGATTATTAATTTAAATTTATTATTTTTATTTATAATAAATAATATTTTTTATTTGTTTTTATTTTTTTTAATTTCTTTCTTTATTGTTTCAAATAAAAATACCAAACATTCCGAGTCAGCTCCTCCATTCGTTGCATTTTTCCACCTTGCATCGTCGTATTATCTCGCTGGAAATCATCGATAATCGACTACAGTCGGCCATTCTCGACGAAAACTACACCAGTTGACTACCCACACAATGTGAAATAAACCCCAGAAAGCATACTTCCTCCAACCGACCATTCATTACAGATACCACCATCGATGACGACAATGTTAGGTCGAGGGTTTTCAAACCACCATAGCCATGGTGAAAAAGTTGTAGAACTCGTTATTCGGTACTCGTTCGGCCAACCGCTAAGTAGCGAATACTCATATTTGGTAATTCATATAGAAATATTTTTAGGGAAATTATATATGTCAAAATCATAAGTTAAAATCATAAGTTTATTGAAATATATAACAAATTTAGAGATATGTGAATACACAAATACTAAAATACACATGATGATCTCATTTCGTGAATAATTACTGAACTTATATATTTGTATATATAGTAACAGAGTTGGAGACGACCCGATAGTGGTTTGTTATGACTGAGTGGTGGTGGTGGTGTTGTCCAAAATATGTTATCTTCCAGTATTTAAAATAAATTAGAGAATGTAGGGTGGGTGAGATTTTTTGGTATTTTTATTTGAAACAATTAAGAAATTAAAAAAAAATTAAAAGAATTAAAAAATATTATTTATTATAAATAAAAATAATAAATTTAAATTAATAATCCAATAAAAAGAACTAATGCAATAAAAAAACTTAAAAAAAATTAATTAAATAAAATTAATAATCCAATAAAGTAACACTTACTAATAGATAAATATTATATGATAAAAATAATATTTGTTAATATATAATAATCCAATAAAAAAGAATTAATACAATAAAAAAGAAATTAAAAAAATCAATTAAAAAAATTAATAATAAAAAGTAATATTTATTAATATATAAATATAATATATTAAAAATAACTTTTATTAATATATAATAATCCAATCAAAAGAATTAACGAAATAAAAAAAAAATTAATTGAATTTAATAATCCAAAAAAGTAACACTTACTAATAGATAAATATTATATGTTAAAACTAATATTTATTAATATATAATAATCCAATAAAGAAGAAATTCAAAAAAAATAATTAAAAAAATTAATAATAAAAAAATAATATTTATTAATATATAAATATAATATATTAAAAATAATATTTATTAATATAGACAAAAATGCAAAAATGGTCCGTGTGGTATGCATTTTTTTGGGGTTTAGTCCAAACCCCGACTTTTTTGGTTTCGTGGTCCTTTTGGCCATGTTTGTACGCATATTTGGTCCCTCGTAAAATTGAAATGACTAAATTGCCCTTATTAGATTTATTTTCCATTTTCTGTTTTTGTCTAATTATTTTTATATATTAAATAAAGATAGGGGCCCCTTTCTCTCTCTCTCTCTCTCCCTCTCTTATCTCTCTCTCTCTCCTATATAAACCAAAAAAACACACACTTGGAAGAGACCACCGATCTATGCATTGATAACCTCCGCCGGAGATCTTTCTGCCTCAGAAAACCCTCAGCATAGAGACCATCTTCATCCCACACTCGCGACTCCCAATTTCATTTGGGATTTGGTTTCATTTGCGATTTTAGGATCTGTGAATCGTGTGTATCTTGCAAATTGAAACTGA